GAAACCAAGAAATACTGGATTTCTATAGCTTTTCCAAAGCTGAGGGGAGCCATGTGTAGTTACAGAAAGTGGCAATCAGGGGGTGAAGACAACACATGGATAGGAGCTGCAGTCCCTGAAAATCCAGCCTCAAGTGCATGTTTAGCAAAATCCTTTACCTTCAAGGAGTGCAAGTCTGGACAGTGTTCTCCATCTCAGCACTTCAAATCCAGGCTTGCCATCTCTTCTTAGGGGAGATTAGCTCATTTACACTGAGAGGAGTTTAACTTCTACCCTATAGGCCCAGGAGCTTTCACCAGCACCTTATTAATTGTTAAAGGGGATGACTAAAGATGATTAGTAGCAGAACTAGTTGTGATTTGGTTTGTACCAAAAGACTCTTTGACAAGGGCTCCTATTTAGTATGAGGAATTAATGCCTCCAGGCAGAAGAGGTTGCCACCTGTACCTTTTTAAACCCTGGAGCCTTCCTTGCATGTCTTCATCTTACTGTGTCTTCCTTGTGTTTTATTTTGCAACAGGTACATCCAGGAGAACAAGGCAATTTGGCACCTTCCCAGGCAATTATGTGAAGCTTCTGTACCTGTAAAATGACATCATGACAATGTCATCCCATCATGAAAGGATGGTGGGATTCCTTTCCAGATGGTGTTTTTTAAGCAGTGAAGAAACAGACAATTTATGAATGTAATAGACAAGAGATGAGAAGTGTTAGGAGGATGTGGTTATGTGGTACACTTTTGAGTTGAATGTGTAGCCCTGTTTCCATGGAGTCAGGGTGTGATTTGTTTGCTGAAGAAGAGACAGATTCTAGTTTACAGTGCTGCCTTTGTGTATTCCTCTCCCTTCCCCAGTAAGAGTTTTGATGATAATCTTAATTTGTACGGAGTACTCACCTCTGAGAAGGCTTCAGGGAAGCACATGGTATAGGTTTTGTTTGTGTGTTGAGATAGGGTAGTGCTTTGGGGCAGTACTCAACCCTGCAGCTGCTCACATTCATTGGCACAGGAGTTCAAGAAACCGGCTTGCTGCCCAGTTTCTGCCTTGCTGAAGATTCTTTTCTCTGCCTTCCATTTCCATAGAAAACCTTTCCTTCATGTCATGCATCTTAAGACCAACAGAGGCAGAGGACAGCTGATATAATTGAATTGCAGAGCTCTCTGTGGAAAAGGAGTTTGGGAATGGTGGTTTAATCCAGAGGTTAGCCAAAGCATAATGCAAATTCACAAAATTCCCAAACCCTTTAATAACATACTACTGACTTCTGCAGGGTTTTTTCTTTTGTGCAGGGTGTGTGTGTGTGAATGTATTGTGTGCAAAATTAACTGAGTCCTGTTTTTTAAAGAGAAATCAGCCTAGCTTTGACATTTATCTGCACAAAGAATAGAACCAATAAACAGAACATCCATGAGGTAAATCCTGTTTATGAGTCCTATGGCTGTTCACTTTCTTTGCTCCTCTTGCCCTGTCACTGGCCCTAAGGGATCACACACCTTTTCCAGTGTATGCTTCAGGATGAAATGCTGGGACTTCTTTCCAAGAATTACATCTTAGAGGCTCTGATAAATCTGAGCAATGTATCACTGAGGGTGCCTTTTTTTTTTAATTTTGGTTACAGTGTTGATGGTAGGTCAAATAAATACATGCATTTTGGCTGCCTCTTAGTCATACAAAAAAGTGTAATCAATTTGGAAAGCTGTTCCCAGCAGTTATTACCAGTTACATAGATTTGTATTTCCTTGAGGGAAAAAAAAACAAACCCCATGGCTTGGCTGTATGTTTGCCTGTAAATCCACTATGAATACTCTTTTGATAAGACTTTTTGTTATTAAGAAAAAGCATAAACAAAACCAGTTCTATCAGACTCTGCTTCCTACAATTGCCGTACAAATAGCAAAGGGTAGATTGCTATTTTGTCATAAGCCGTATTTAATAATATAAAATGCCTATTTTTATGCTGATGCTTTTATACAGATTTATTAAGAGTAAACTACAACTAACTGTTAGCACGACTTGCAATGTTTTGATAAATTAGCCATGCTCCTGGGTTTGAAATCAAGTAGGCTTGTCTTCCGTCTCTGTTGGTGGAAGAGAAGACTCTGTGTCTCAGAAGTTTGACTGTAAATATGTATATTTAACTTTGTACAGACAATGTACTTACCTTGTATAGAGAAATAATTTAAACACATTGAGTGAAGGGAGGGGAAAAAAGGCAGTTGTGAAAGGTTGGGATTTTTTTCCACTTTAATTTAAGTGATGGAATTCCATGTATGTTCACATAAAGAGTTTTAGCACAAAATATTTGTTATGAAAGGGTTTCAGATATGACACAAAGTACCACTGTTTATTTTCTGCAGGAGGTATCTTGAATCCTGCATCTTATTTATGGGTTAGTTGTTCTGCTTTGGGTTTGCCCTCCAGTTATTTGCAACAATGTTTAGGCCTGTTGGTAAGATTGGATAACACCAAATAAATCTATCCAGCAAAGTAACATGTTGATATTGATTGTATATAACATACTCATTTAAAAGTTAATTTTCTGTTCTTGCTCTTGCCAGTTTAAGTTAAGCACAAACACACATACACATCACACATATCCACACAAACTGCAACTTCTTTTTGTGTTGATTTTTTGTTTCTTATTGCAGTGGATTACTATTTGACAATTAATAAATGGAATTATTGAATTACTGTTGTGTTCCTCGTACAAATTATTAAATAAAATCTACTCTGGTTGTCCTGTAGCAATGCACTTTTGTACTAGTGCCCCGCTGTGGCTTTGTATCCACAGCGACATGTAGGTGTCTGCCATGGGCTTCTCCACTGTCCTGCACCTGAGGATCCTGCTTGTGATTTGGCTTGAGCTGACCAGTCCTTCCTGAGCTGTAGGCTGGCTGTGACTTTTGCTTAAAGAAATCAAGGTGTAAAGGCAGAGGAGAAGCTGATTACACACAGATCTCACTGTAACATGGTGTCAGGGTACAGTTGCTGTGGCGTGCACACAGACCTGGGAGGTCAGGAGTACACCTCTGTCCACTGGTTTACAAAGGGTCTTTGTGACCTCAGATGAAAAGACCACCCAAGTTAAGTCAGGCGAGAAACTCAAAATGCCAGCCTGTGGGGGAACAGATGTCAGTTGGTGTTGGGCTTACATGTGCATTTTTAACCCTGACTTGGGTCAAAAGCTTTAAGACTGCCATCTAATAGCTGCACCCTGACAGGGCAGGATTGGCTACAGCATTAACTCATGGAGTTTGTAGGTCTGTGGTGACTGTGTCATGTCTCCCAGCCCTGCAGCAATACACCTAGCCGGGACTTTCTGGGCATGCCTTGTGTAAGGGAAAATCACTGAAGGAGTGGAGTGAGGGAAAGCAACAGCTGAGCTGCCTGGGTGGACTCACTGGGGGCCGGTAACACACAAGTACCCAAAAAAATGCATCCTGCAGCTCCACATTTGGCTCCTGCATGGTGCCTGTGCAGGACTGTGCTCACTCTAAAGACTGATATTTCACAAGGGGTTTTAACTTTTTGGAGACCTCCATCTCAGACTAAGCCAAAATTGCGCAACAGATTCAAAGTCTGCGATGATGCGATGGATGGCCAGGCAGACAGATAAACATCATGGCTGCACTCACAATGATTTTAGGAAGTCAAACTGTAAACAAGTTGATCCTAAAACCAAACTATCACGACAAGAAAAGCCTCAGGCTACTTTACATGTTTTTAGAAAGCACACAGACACAAGCCCTTTTTTTGTTTCACAGGTCACTTATATAAAAGCCAAAGGGCAGCCCGACCATGGCTTTGCTGATAAGCACGGCTCACCTTTGCTTTACAGCAGCCTGGACAGGGAGGGGAGAAACTCATCTGTGTCTGCTGAACATTGGTATTTACTCACTCTCTAACCTAATCGAAGCTAGAGGTGCTAGTGACTTCAGAAGCTGGGCAAGCAGAGAGGGGAAGGTGACCCAGCAGTGTGCAACAGCCCTCTGGAGATCCTGCACACTGCTGTGGCAAAGCAGTCACTTTCTTCCCTGTCACGAGTGCCACACCAATGATGTAGTGGAAGAATTACTTCTCCCTGCTAGGGATGAAATTAATAGTCTGACACATGGACCCTGGAAAGAAATAACCTGTGAAAAGACAAGCTAATGCAGGAAAAAGGGCACAACCACAAAAGGGGATTGCAGAAGCAAGAGTGTGCCTTGTGATTAGACAACTTGTTGCCATGTCTTGTAGGACCAGTATCTGGGTGACCTGCATCATCCCTACTTGCTGTGTGCTCCATGCTCCCCAGCTGTGGCTGAATCCCAGCTTCAGCTACAGCTCGCTGATGTTGTGCTTATGGGTGAGCTGTATGGGTGAGCACAGCACTCCAGTTGTAAATGCCAATGCCGTTGCTGTGACCAACCTTTCCCACTTGTCCACCATCAGATTACTGAGGCCTTAATATGCAACTGAAACAACTATTTTCCCTGAATCACAGACAAGAAGATTGGCTGAAAAACTTGTATAGAATAATTCCTTTTTTTGGTGGTACCGTGCTTAAGGGGCTAGAGAAACAAAACGCTGTCTAAATCAGTGAATATGGGATAAATTAACAGAGAAGTAACCACCCTTCCCAGACTCCACCCTCGCTCATCCGACCCTGGCGGGGAAACTTCAGGCTTATTTCCCTCACTCCCATTAGGTTTCAGAGTTAACATTGCTCCAGGCTGGAGACTATTGGCCTGGGAGATGCTGCACCGGGGCACTCCTGCTTGTGGCTGCCTGTCGGAGGCTTGTCCTGCCTGCTAGCAGGGAGCGGGCGAGGAGCGCCGGGCTCCGGACCCCGGCCGCCGGCCGCCCTCGGGAGGCCTGCCCCGGAGCGGCCCTGCCCGGGGAGGCGCGGCGGAGCGGGCGCTGCTGGCCCGGGGCGGGGCGCGCCCGGCGGGCGGGCGGGGCGCGCCCGGCGGGCGGGCGGGGCGCGCCCGGCGGGCGGGCGGGGCGGGCCGGGCCGGGCCGGGCGGGCGGCGGCGCTGCCGGAGCCGCCGCGAGGTGCAGCGCGCACATGGGGACGCACCGCATCGTGCTCTCGGGCCCCGGGCCCTGGGGCTTCCGCCTGGTGGGCGGCCGCGACTTCGAGCAGCCCCTCGCCATCTCCCGGGTAGGCTGGCCTGCGGCGGGCGGCGCTGGGGGCGGCCGGGGTCGGCTCGAGCTGGCAGGTGGCACAACGGCAAAGCCGGGGCGGCGGGTGGGGTTGTCTTTTTCTCCCCTTGTTTTTTAGTTCTTTTGGGGTTTTTGCGTTTACGGAGAAATCGGTGGTGGCACACTCAGCCCCTTCACCTGTAGCGGACCGGGGTCTTCGCTTCCCACCGAACCTCCGTCCTCAGCCTGTCCATGGGGACCCTGCAGGCAGTAGGGATCTCCTCAGCCCCTGGTTCGGGTTTGGCAGCCCATCCTGTGGGAGCCCGTCTCCTCGAAGTGGGCTGAATACTTGCCTGTCTTTGCTTGCCATGTATAGTTAAGAGCCTTTGTTCACAGAAGCCATGTTAAGGTGTGTTTGCTGCCTCTGCTCGTCTCTGTTCGAAGTCCTTCTTGCCCCCACTTGAAGAGAAATTAGTTAGGAAATGGCAAAAATTTTGCATCGGATCAGTTTTAGCGTTGTAGATGGCTTTTCCCTGCTGTGCCCCAGCGCTTGCCTGCAAGACGCCGGTGTGGCTGCCCCGCTGTCCCCACCTGCCCCGCAGGTGCCGGGCCGGGCCGGGCCCTGCCCCGCAGGCGGCCGCGGGCTCGGCTGCGCGCCCGAACTCCTGCTCGGCTTTGTGTGGGGTGCAGCGTGGGGAGACGGGCTGCAGGGCTCCCCTGTGGGAACGGCAACGAAGGGATTGCTCCTCGTTCCAGCAGTCCCTCGGCAAAACAGAGGCATCCGCGACCTGCTGTTAGCCTTGGGCTCTGGCATCTGCCACCATTGCACGATTTTTGAAGTGCCCGCATTCCCCAGGTGAGGAAGGGCCGTGGGAAGTGATATATACCAGAACTTGAATTTACGTGAATTTACTGCCCTTAAAGAAGACCAGGATGGTCAGACTTGTGAATTTTTATAAATGCCTCCTGTCACGGGATCTCCTGCCATGGGGTCCCACTGCCTGCAGGAGCCCAGGTGCCGTGGGGAGGGTGCCAGCTGCAGGAAGGGCAGAGCTCGCAAGTCCTGTTAAACCCACGGGGGGTGGGGGATGAGTTACTAGTTTTCTATGTAATCTCTTTCAATTACTGTAATAATGCTTCATTTTTCTAAAGCATTTTTGGGACGTGAAAGCAGCTTTACTGTAAGGGAAGTGATATTTACTTCATTGTTATGGTAATTATTGCCATTTCCTTCCAGCAAAAGACTCCTAAGCAGAACGGTGTCTAAAGCCCTACCTTGCTCTTACCTGGTCTTTGTCAATGCTTATAGGCACCTACCAAGGGACATAGATCAGCAAAAATAACCACCTCGTGAGAAATTTTGACCCTGGAGACTAAAATGTAATACAATAGCCTCTCCAATGATGGTGACGTAAATGCTGACAATTAGCAGCTCTTATCAGGGCTTTCTCTTCTGACCCCTCTGACACTTTTAATTTCCCCTCCCAGACTTCAAGTCATTAATCCTTCCTGTGGTTTGCTCCTGAGGCTCCTGGATTTCTCTCCTGGGCTCGGGAGTGAAATTCTTGGCAAGTCTTCCTGTTACCACGTAAAAAAAGATCTGATCCAGTTTTGACCTGTTTTAAAAAGTCTGTTCCTCCTTGTGTGATGACTTTACACATTCTTGCTTATTTTATTTGGTACCTGTGTTTTCACCAGAGACATTTCTGGCATGGAGCCCTTCCTCCTTCCCAGGATGGTGTGAGCTCTGGCCATAGCTCTGACATCTGCCAGGAGTTGTGAGGGACTTGGTCCTATTGTGGTGTGAGATAAAGGGGCTACCTAAGGCCAGTGAGAGGGTGGGGAGTCTGTAACCTGTGGTAAGAGCATTACCCTGGGAGCCTGGGAGGTTGCAGCTCTCCCTCCTCAGCTGTGTTTGCTTTGTGCTGTGGGCAGTGGGAGGTGGTGTGTGCACAGATGTGCTCATGAGGAGCACTCTTGGCAGGGGTGCACAGCGCGGGGCTGCCTGTCTGGGCATGGGGGAGAAGCAGCACCCGACGCTGAGCGCTGCAGTTTGGCTGTGCCATCTCTGGGGTCAGTGCCGTGCCAGGTAGCCACTGGAGCCTGTCCCAGGGATGCACTGATGGGATCACCATGCTGTTCCATGTGCTGGCATTGTGGGATGGATGCCAGGAGAGGCATAGATCTGAACTGGGTGTCTTGCAGCTCTCTTTGAACCAGGTGCTTAAATTCAGCCTGCATTGCCTGCCAGGAGAGCTCATGTTTGGCTTCTGGCACCATCATCCTTGTGCTGTTAAACTATAGAGTTTATCTTGGTATTTATGGCCCTCATCACCATTGTGCCTCAGCTTCTTGCTAGTGGCTTTTGGCCTCTCAAGCTCCCCAGTCACCTGGGGAGCAGCTGTACTTGAATGTAGTCACATTGGTGGGAGGCAGCACCAGAGGAAGTCATTGAAGCTTGGTGTTGCAGTCCTGGGTCCAAGAAGGATGAGGACCACTGTTGCCATGAGCATGGGAACCACCAGATCAGCCTGGCCAAGGGCTTCTGGCGGACAGTGGCTGCTTGGTACCAATGTCTGGTTGTGCCTTAGAGGAGCAGCAGATGAAAGATTGTGGCATTTCCACAACTGCTCTTACCTTGTCTTTTGTCACTGCCCTACCTCACTTTCCACTTGAAATATGTATTTAAAACTCCTTCAGGCTCAAATACATCATGAGCATCTTTTTCTTGTTTTGTGAGAGCACTTCTGGTTTCTTGGTTGTGTTGGACTGGTCTTGCTAGAGACAACTGAGTATGGAGATTTCACAAGTGCTGCTTGCGAGACGTGGAGTTTCCCGTTTCTTTAGGATGGATGCTTCAAGATGTTTCTGGCTTACATTTCTTAGGGTTCTGGTAGACAGTTTATTGCAGTCTTTGTTCAGAAAAAAAAACAAACTTGTATTGATCAGTGTAATGAACTCTGAGCCAAAGCCTGCTGGATTTCCCTACAGGAGTAGGAAAGGCCCTTGTCTTTACTGCTCTTTGTGTGATACTCTGCAGTGGGTCAGTGGAGTAGAATTTGAGAGAAGTTCTTTCTGAGACATGAATGCACATAATACATACAGGGTAATAGTTTCTGTAGAGCTGACCTATGCACAGGGTAGTTTCCAGTTAAATCCCATTGAGGCTGGGAGCTGATGGAAGAAGCAAGCAGCACATTGTATAAGCAGCCACTGATGGAATGGGGCTGTCTGAAAAACAGTGGAGTTGACAGACCCCATCTCCCTCCATTCCTCAGGTGACATGAGCTGTTGACTGGTTGCATTTGATTTTGATGAACATTGAGGCTTTTTGTTTCCAGCTGAATGCATGGAACTGTCTGATAAACCTTTTTATTGATGTGGTTTGTGGTAGCAATCTTGAGCATCTGACCCAAAATATGGGCAGAGCAGATGTTTGCTGTTTTGTCATGTCAAAAACCTCTCATCTCCATTAAGGTTGGGTGTCTCTTGGAGTCTGTAAAACTGGACATTTTCTTATAAAACCAGTTTTCCAATGAAAAAGCTATTTCAAGACAGACCAGTTCTGTAAATACATTAAAAAGATGAAATCCCAATGTGATGCTTGTTGCTGATTTTGACCACTGTAAAATGAATTCATCCCTGCTTATTCTGATATTTTATCTATTTGTGGTATTTTAAAAACTGAATTTATATAAAATACAGAATTGGATCATAATTGGGTATTTGAGTGTGTTTGTTTTCTTTTTAAGCATGGCCCTCTGAACCAGCTTTATAAACTTAAAGCTTGATTTAGTGGTAAAACTGGACTTGATGGTCTGCAATCAATCATGGGACTGAATCCTGTGGTGTGAAAAGATACCAGGTTTCTCTTTGGTACCAGCTGATATCCTTATCCTGTCAGCCAGTAACCCTTGTAGGAAGCAGCTGAGCAAAGGCATCCCAGAGCCAGTGGTGAGGGAGAGCCCTGCTGGTAGGGGACACCCTGCTAATGGGGTCTCTTGATGGGATGGATGGAGACTGCCTTCCCTCTGGTGCATGCCAGGGCTTAGCTGAGGGGCACAAGTGACTGCCTTGGGAGCGGCTTCAGCCTCTTCCCCAGTGGCTGCAGGTTATTTTTCTGAGATGTGAGGACAGCTGGGGCTTTCCAGGCAGCCCTTTGCTCCCAGAGTGGAACCTTTTGGCTCTCCCTCTGCCAAAGGAAATATGGGGTGTGGTGGATGTGATAGGGTTTAGGGTTGGGCTGGCCTTCCTCCCCAGCCTGGAAAGCCTTGGCTGGTCCCCAGTCTGCACACCTATGACTGCAGTTCCTCTGCCACACGGTCCAGCTCTTGTGCCCATGACTGCAAATCTCAGCATTGTGCTGGGGTCTTGTTCTGAGGCTGTCTGGGCAGAGGGAGGCAGCTGGGGACAGCTGCTGGGCTTTATAGGAAGGTGAAGGTGGCTTTATGATTCCTGCTCGGATGTTTGCCTGGCTGCGGGTGGGGCAGGGGCTGTGCCACACCAGGCAGAGCTGCTGCAGAACTGCACAGCTGATAAGGGCCTGATAAGGGAACAGTGGTCATTAGTGTCACCTGCCAAGAGCTTCTGGCCCTGCAGAAGTGGCTGGGTTGGTGTTTAGAGGACAGCAGAATGCCTTGTGCCTTTGCCTGGTGGGAGTCCTGTCTGCTGTGTCAGAGCACACCAGGTTGTGAAGAGCAAAGTTTGTGCCCCTACAGACTTTGAAATCAACATCAATCCTGGCAGTTTCCTGGAAAAATCCTGTGCTTCAAAGGTACAAATGGCTGCTGAGAAGAGGAAAAGACTTTTCTGATTTCCCTGACTTTGGGGCACAGGATGGGTTTGATCTTTTCCAGCCCGGTTTCCTGAGTCTGGGGGGGGGGGGGGGGGGGGGGGGGCACTTTTACTTTGAAAAAAACTTTTGCAAGTTTTGGGATGCTAATCAAGTGCCTTATAGCAGAGCTACATGCAGGAGCAGTACTCTTGTCTTTCCTAGGATCCAGGGTTCTCTTTTCCTCA